GACTCGTGAAGTGACCCCAGAGTATATCCTGAAACCTGCCATTATCGGTGGCAACTCCACAAAATTTGAACTTCTTACCTGGACAATGTGTGACATTCATAGAGTAAGGCGATCCGGTACCATTGGAAACGAGCTTGTTTCCCAGCGTAGCACGCTGAGAAACCTCTCCGCAGACTGTAGGCGCTAGGATGTACAGGACACCTAATAGCAAGGAGAACATGACAGCGAGCCTGAGAGAACGATAGTACTGTGGCCGATGATGAATTTCATCATGATCTGACGGGTTGTATTTATATTTGAAACCCAACATCCTCTCCCCTGGCCCCATGTGATCACCGGTGAGAGAGAAAGAGAAGAATTAGAACAGTGACGTACGGACTCTACGATATGACCAGTCCTCGTGTCAGCATCAAGAACGACCCGGCTCAGTGCTGACTATTACCACACTTGGAAACAGATCACATCACTTTGTCAGTTGTCTAGAGTATGTATGTAAGTCGGCCTAACCTGTGTAGTCCCGGATCCGTTGGAACGGGAGTCACATCACTTTCGGCCTGAATGAGTCTGAGCGGAAATTGAGTGGATACTGGCCACCAATGATGGCGGGTAGATACCCGGGGCTACACCGAGGCGATTGTGGAGAACTCGAGGTCGAGCCTCAGGCTGTGATTTTAGGCGTTGGTACATTTTTTTGAGGATGATCATTGATGGAGTTTATCCTAAAGTGTGACGGCAATTCCGTTGTACTCATATTACTCAATTAGCCCCTTACAGTAATATCACAGCTCAACATGCGGTCCTATGGTAAGACGTTTAGGGTTCGGGATAAAATTATTCAACGAATTATTAGCCTGCTTTTTAGCCAGGTGGTTCTTGGGGAGTTATTAACTAGCGGATTATTAGCCACTTATTAGCGGTCACGTGATGTTGTTTTTAGCAGGCGAAAAATAGCTAACAACCTTAGCCAATTAGCCAGCGTCTCATTCCCATACTCCCGGCCACTCGTTATCGACATCGTCAGTCTCAGCCTCATTCCTGACCTGATCGACGTTGTACCTCTGATATATGACGCATAGGTAGCCACCAGGAATTATTAGCATTATTAGCATGGTATTTTCTGGGACGAATTATTAGCGTGTTATTAGCTTGCTAATATCTCGCTAATTAGCACCTGGCTAATAAACAACGAGTTTTCTCCCGAACCATAAAGACGTTGCGGCATATCCAGAAATTCGTGGTACAAACCGGTTGGTCTAGTGTTCTACAAATAATTCCATCTTCTATGGGTCGTCAGCCGAGATCATCTGCGCCCATCAGTGACTCGGCTGTTCCTGCGGCCTTAGTACTGTGATCAGATTCAAACTCTCAGGCATTTCTCGAATTCTGATTTGACTGCTTTGAAACGATAAGCAACTCTGTATCGAATGTGCACGACTAGGATATCTGGAGTCACTGGAGCGCCAGGGTCCCACAGCTCACGCCAAGGATGTTTGTTTGGTACACCGAGCTTACAGCGATATAATATTCACTTGGCGTATTGAGCGAGGCGCTAAGCAAGTGCTAAGCTACTTTTGTATTGATAGTACTGTTGACACTCGTCGAGGCGAGATGTGAATTCGGTTCGGAAACGACCAAACTCGAAACTCCGATTCACATCCAGTTGCAATTTACAATCATGTATCCATACATCGTAATCCCCTGTCAATGACCCCATGTCGTTGCAGCAGGATCTCAGTCCTGGACCACTCTTACACTCGTATTCTTGCTACAGCACCGCCATCTCCATTTCAAACTCCAAGCGAATCCTCTGGAACATTTCACCAGGTGCACCAACTCCTGCTTCTCACATTACTAGTGCTGCGGGTTCCGTCTGCACAATGAATAGGACAGAGAGGTGCCAAGTGCGAGTTTTCTCGTTATGAAGACAGGTAGTATCAATACTATTTGAAGCAGCTGAACGCACAATCGATATTATTTGTTGCTGGGAGGTGTGTGATATATTTCGGTCTGCAATTTCATAGGATTAACGGGCATCATGTTAGCAAAAAGAACGTATCTTTGTATTCCACATCGCTATGAATGTCAAGTTCATTTATGCCTTCCGAGCCCTTATTTCATCTAGCAAGGAGACCTTCACTCCACGATGAAGCAACTTATCTCCGGGCCTCTGGCCACCCTCGGAGCACTACAAGTGCTGAAGTTTATCGCCTCAATTTTACAGAGGAACTGGCCCGGGCGGTCGACGAGCGAGGCCATACAATATCTGGTCCTGTGACTCCCAGAGCAGTCGACGAGCTAATCACTGCTAAGAATCTTTGCGAGCTTGACTCACGAGTTGCTCCAGAATGCAAGGGACAGTGATTATGATACAGTGTGTTTGCCAGTACTAATAGTTACTCCGTTTACCATCTCGATTCGATTCGCCTTGGCGGCAACACTATTTTGTAAGTCGTACGTCAACCCGACTTGTGGGACTTGCGCGGGGCGGTACAAATGCTAGTAGTGACGAGACCTTAGAGTCAGAATCGCACTGTGCGCGCACTAACACTATGATGATGACTTGCTAGCATATGAGCGCCTCTGTTTGGTCTTATGTAACAATAAACAAAATTGTGGCCAAGTGAATTTTTGACATTCTGGCCTATCGTTCTGCAGATAGCTGTAATATAAGCACAAGTCTGTTCATTCTGTGAATGAACGGCTCAAACCCTCTTTCTTCATCATTCTAGTTCTGTTTTCTTTCGACATGCCTAAGAAGAGCAGCGCTGCAATTGACCACGAGATCGAAGTCTTGCAAGCTCAAATCGCTATCCTGCGACGTCGTGAGGATGACTTCGTCCGTATTTTGGAGGACATGGCCCGTCTCAGAGACTCAGTCAAGGCCGAGCAAGTGGCACTCGCATCTCAAATAACGGAGCTAGAGAGTCAGAAAAGTCCAATCAACTGGCTGCCTTCAGAGTTACTGATCCAAATCTTTGTCTCTGTAACGGAGGACAACGACTCAGACACCTTAGCAGGTCTCGCGTACAATCCATCGCCCATCATCATATCACACACATGCCGGAAATGGCGTAAACTCGCACTCGCCACTTCTATACTGTGGTCGCGCGTTTCTTTCAGGAGCAGGAAGTGGTCCACGTCTCCAGTATGCGCGTTCATAAATCGCTCAGGTTCTAGTCTGATCGACCTCACATTTTCTCCCCCACCGTACCATATCGATGATCATGACGCCGCCGAGGACGAGCGGCTAGCGTCTGAATGTCTACTTCAGACGTTGAGCTTTCACCTCCCTCGTATGCGCTCTATCACCTTCGAGTGCACATCCTCTGCGAGTATGCGACTCATTGTCGAACTACTCATAGATAACTTTCACGAATTAAACTCTTTACGCTCCTTGGATCTGTCCTTCGCAAGCTTTGCCCCATGTTTTGCAGGCACACCACTACTCGAACTGGATCAACTGGACGGACAGAGTCTCCCCGACACACCAAGCGTCCTCACATACCTCCGTCTTCAACAACTACCACCACGCGTCATTTCGCCATCTTTCTTACGATCTGTGCAAACTCTCGAGCTCTCCTACCCTCAACGAAGATCCCACCACCGTGCTCCTCAGTACATCCTACGAATGTCCCATATACACCGTTTCCTAAGTTTTACTCCAGAGCTTCAAGATCTAGTTCTTATGGAAACCACGCCGCTTCGTGATGTTGTTCTCGAGGAACCCAGCGAAGGACAGACGGCCGACAATCGATTCATCGTCGTGGCCCCCCTTGAACTGCATAAACTCAAAAGCCTCACATGGAAGTTTGCCAACCCCCGCGACGTGTATACCTTCATGTCTTTCTTCGGCATGCCTGCATTGGAACGATGGGAAATTCTAATCGCCAACTCCCTAACGAAGCGGAACGACGTCAGCACGCTTCGCGGTAATCATTGGCACGAATCAGACTCATTCATCCAGGCAGAGCCCCTCGGAGGCGTCCTATCCATGGCTGCGCTCAAGGAGCTGTGCATCAGCTGCCACGATGGCGACTCCCTCATTTCTTCGCTGCGCCAGTTCTTCTTCCCTGTGCTTGAGCAACTCGAGTTTGCATATGCCGGAAAGTGCCCGCCAAATTGTAACCACAAGCATCCTCTCCCGCGCCTTGATTATATATTTCGCGATCCCCGTCTCCCCCACCTTACGCATTTCACGCTGTCACACTTTGATGTCTGTGCCGGGCACGGGAAGCTCATGCTTGGTTACATGCCGTGCCTCGTATCATTGACACTGATATCGTGCACTGGTGTGGACGGCGTGCTAGACGCGCTTGCTGAAGCATATGGTCACGCATTGGATGCAGAACGCAAAGCAACTCGTGGATATGGCGTTAGAGTCTGTCCAAAGTTAGAAAGGATAGCACTCTGGAGCTGCTCCGACTTCAGATTCCAAAGCTTATTTGCAACTGTATTCGCGCGTGCACAGTCTGCAGGCCCCAACGTGTTCATGAAGGCTCAAAAGGACGTACCTAGCGTTGTCTCCACGGTCTTAGGCCGTAAGATACGACCCTTGAAAAAACCGCGCGTGGCGTCTTCACAGGGAGCCCTGTCTTCTCCCGTGAAGCTACACACAATGCAAAACTCTCATGGAGCGCAATCGACGTTGATTCCTATCGAGGATGCTTTGCGCCCTGCTCGCATGACCTGCGTCCATGTCGATGATTGTCCCCAGATCACTGAGGACGAAGCATCGATGCTGGATGACTATGCCACAGTTGTTGTATGTCGGTGATAATGTTTCCACGAAGCACGGTGATGAAATCGAACCTGTAGGTCCCTCATGTTTGATTTTCGATGCATTCACTCACCCGGACCATCATTACGGAAATTGTCACAGAACTCAGATAATAACCCTTCTAGCAATGTATCCTTTAAAGTAGCTCCAAGCTCCGCATGCCAATCTTGAGGCTACATATGATGTTTGCCGCAAGTTTTGCCAAGCTATTTTGGTAACTCGGAGGACATATGCAAGCCTGTTTTTTTTGCCAAGTGACGATAGTGCAACATGCCCTGTGGGCTCATCGTGGAGTAGGTACTGAAAACGGGTATGACATCCTCAACAAACCCCGCAATAGCGCAGGCTGTGGGGTTTAGCCAGCAAATGGGTCTCCTTGTTTGGTATGATCTGGCAGTGTGCAAGCGGTGCACATCCCTGTGGCATCAAAGACTATTCGGAGCTGGATTGTTACAACAATGCCTTCAACGGGCGGGAAGGTTCTATTGGTTCCCATACACTTCCAGTAACAGGGTGCAGTCTCTATCAAGGAACTCGAATCTGAGCATTGCAAGCCACACAAAGATCGATATACGTACTTCAGGGGCTATATCGAATTTGGTGAGGGCTTCGAGCACGCCTCTGCCACTCCATTTTTCGAGTTCGTTCACCTCGTCTGGACCGATAAAGGCTTGAGAGCTTCGTGAAGCAAATACCATTTGGGCGGCCGCAGCCCTAATCACCGGTCTGGAAGAAGTATTTCCATCGAGACTGGGAAGGTGCACTTCCACTTTCTCTGATCTCATACTGGGTATTCCCGGGAATACTGGTACGGCTGGAACCGTATCTAGTGGCAGAACAACAGCCGAACTAGACTGTTTAACTCCACGCCAGCTGACCGCAAGATGGAATATCCAAAACGTTTCCATCTAAGGGGGAAGTCCCCGTCTATTGAAGACAAGTTCCATGATTTCGGTGAAGAAACACGTACCTCTAGCGTTGTTAGACCAGATACAGCGGCTTTGAGGTGATCGATCAGAGAAGCATTGTGATCTTGAAAGGACGTCTGTCTCCCCTGAGATGAGTAGAAACTTTTTTTCATATCAGCATGATGCAATGCGGTCAGAATATGTAAATTGAAATCTACCTGTCGGTCGATGCATTTACAGCATTCGAAACTACAAGATTTTTGAGTGAAAGCGGCCGGGTTACTTCGAGGGCATCACGCAACTACCTTGGGAATGAGCGATGGCTTCATAAAGTAGTTCTTTGTCCGACTTACGGCTCTATGAAGGTCTGGGTCTGCTGAAACCTGGTTACGTTCCGTGAGTGAACGGATTTGAAAGGAGCAACGATGATGCGAACGGGTTTGCTCAACCTGTATGGAACCTCCCAAGGATCGCCGGAAGTAAAATCGAAGTCCACATTTCGGGTACAAGCGACGCTCGATGCTGGCAGGACAAGCGATCCTACGGGAAGGTCAGTCAAGCAACCGCATGACCCCAGCCTTCCGATACAGTCCGTTAGTCCGATATTTCAGCGTGATTGATAAGTCCGTTCCGACCTTATTATGAGCATGTCCCCACACAGGCATTCTCTGACTTCGCGGATAAAAAAATCTGCATTAGGTGCGCCCATACCTATGCATACTATGGAAATTGGTACACTCTTGTAGCAACCTGTGATGGTAAGGAAACCGCGTTCGGAGTACAGGGAAAATATTTTTGGGGAGGCGTCTAGCATCTTCGCGATACTCTCTGCTCGCGAAGTGGACCCAACAGTAATCTCATACACTTATGAGCTGCTGGAAGAAGCGGGAAGCGCCTCTGACTTACAATTCTGTTAGCTACCTCTCCTGCTCGTATACCCAAGTGGTACACTCGACCGTCTACTGTCTTGGGAAAATCTGAATGGACGCTTGCGTCAATTTCTCAGGGAAACCAATTGAGGTTTACTCACTTGCATTCTGTATTCGATCCTTCATAATTGCAAGTGGTGAGCACTGATCAACTGTTGGCGACCGAATAAGTAACCGATGAGTCTGACTCTACTAGTACTAGTCTGAATCACCTCACGTGATGGTGATGTTCGTAATACGAAATTAGTGGCGACACACGGAACCACTGAAATCTACTGAAATAATGGAGCTATCCTCATCGCGAGTAGGTTACCCTGAGTGCAAAACACCAAGTAAGATGCACTGGCTAAAATGTGGCACTATAGTTACTGATTCGACCCCACTTGGTTGTCCGTCTGGCATCGGGCGCGAATTCCAAGCTTTACGATTCACAGCAATAAGTGGCGCATCCGAACCTGTGGGTGCAAGTCGTGACACAGCAAGCATATTGGAAATCACCCAAGAATGTACAGCCCGGATGAGCTGGTTCAACGGTAGACCGTGACATATATTGATATAATACCACCCCTCGACAACAGTTTATTTCGCCAGATTATTTTTTCGAAATAATTCAAACTGTCAAGTAGGCTTGCATGCTCTGCCGAACGACTTGCCGATATTTTGCCGCGAAGGAACGCCAGCGCCTACTACGTCAGTACCAACGGAACAACCCATGACAAAGCTTTCAGGAACTCTCGCACTAGTTGTGCTCTTCGCTGAGGCAAGACTATGGGGATCAGCTCATCGCTATTCCACTTGTATCGGTTGCCTTGGACCGCCGCCGAAAAGACAGATGCAGTGGTAGGTACGGTAAACGAGGAGATGATATAACCAGGAAAAGCCTGAAGATTCCTTTGACATCCTTATTAATGTCTTGTCAGACAGGAGTCACAGGACATTCAAAGTCTGGCTGTATTAAGTTTTTCTCTCTCGTATACTTAAAGTTCCTGCTTGCATAACACTTTGTGGTATGGTCCGCAGGACCTTTTGACGTTTGCACGATTTTATCACTTTCTATCCGTGTGCGACTGACGGTCGACCCCAGTGCCCCGTTAGATATATTATGACTTGCGACGTTTCGAAAATATGCTTAAAACAACGTTTATTGTGGCGATCGCTGAAGTGACTGTATATATTTACACCGTGCGTCTATGTATGGCATTTTCCCGCCTTCGTTCTCGATTTTTGACATGGTCTAGTCCTGCGCAACGTCAGCAGTTGTCCGATGCGATGGATGAGTGGGATTTTCCCAGCCGTATAGGCATAGAGGATGGTGGCTATGTCAGGACTGCAAGGCAAGCCTCTGCGGAACCCTTTCGCTTAGTACTGTCGCAAGAAATTTTATGCTCTAACTCCATTCTATGTTCTTACAAGATATGACATACATGTGGTGCAAAGAGCTGATTAGAAAAATGGGGAGTTGGCATGACAGAGGGTCCCATGACGGGTAAGAGCTTCTGCTGTCCGTCTTCGTTCCATTGGTCACTCATTCGATACTAGTATGTTTTTGCCTAATGTTTGCACTTCGGCGCCTCGGCACATAATCAGACTCAGCTTACTACGACGTGTTGCCAACAGATGCTGAAAACTGCCACTGAATAACTCTGACAGTTTATTTCCAATCGCTGATTGTTCAAAACGGCAAATAAACTGAAGAAATGAACTGATATTCAATGAATCAAATTGTGATTCAAAACCTCTTTTTTCAGGCGCCGGAGGAGCCCATGATGGTGACCCTGGAACGTCTCAACTTCAAAAGATATCATTCGAACGTCGAATCGGTATGTTGCTGGTCGTTTGTGCGCCCACACCTCTAACATCAAAGTCGTGAGTTCTGACATGCCAGCCCGACTCTGGACAGAACGTTCTGTGCCTTTGTAAGGAGATATTCGACCCTTTCCCCTGCGTGGAGAACAACGAACTACCAAGGGAACAATCATGACCCGCGCCTCCGATTAGTGTTTCATACTTTAAAACCTTGTTGTCCCTTTGCTTATTCTGCACCGTTCCCTTTTTTTTTCTTGCTTTTGACACGCTTTCGTGATATCATCGTCAAGACAATTACGTGGATCGGAGCTTTGATCCCGCAACTTTCAAGCCCAGACCTTCTAGCGCCTGCATCTTATGCCAGCCTGCTTTTTCCGGCAGGAAGCTGTCTCGACATGAACTCTATCCTTTGCGAAACTGATGCCGGGGGAACTACGTGGAGCGACGACGTTCCTCATATTAGTTGACTACTTAGTTCGTTCTTTGATGCCGCAATCGGTGGCGTTGTCTTACGGTCTCCGAGGTTGTTTGTGCTGTACCATAATCATCGAAGTACCACGGAGTTGACAGGCTTTTCGCCGCTCTCCGTCAGAAAATATATCGTCGTCGGGAGTGGCTGCGACTAGGTGCAATCTTCGATGACAAGTTGGCATGAGGCAGGGATAACGCCGGAATACAGCTACCCGACAATTTGCACAAATAATTCAGCTAACTCTGTACCGTGTTTCATATCCCGCAATGGTGCCACGAGAGACGAAGGAGGGCAATCTCCTTTCGGTAAAGTTGTGGGACAGACTGCGTGTCATCGTGCTGGAGTACTTTCGAAAAAGAAAAGGTACGACATTGTGTATACGCCTTCTTGCGACATCGCCTTGTCCCCACTTGGGCTGACACGGTGACTGAGGGCGATCACCGGGTCGTCTGCCAAGCTCTTCGGTGTCGGCATCGAGCACCTTGTCGTGCAGGTGCTATCTATTGGATCGTGAGCTCCTCGAGAAGAGAATGTGATCGTTAACCTTTCCTCCGAGTCAGAGACTGCGTCCAATCCCTCTTAATCAGAAAACTAGACCACAAGGACAACAATAGCAAGTACTGACGTAGATCTTTGATAGCGCAGCGCAGATCATCATTCACCACATTTTTTGCTCCCTTGTTGCTTTTACATGTAATGCCGTCAAGGAGATAGCCGCTTTGCCCTTGACTAAGTACCGAAACCAGGCACATTTACGACTTTCTTGGATCGTGGTGAGATCTTCTCTTGCTACCAAACCATATTAACGATCATGAACAACTGCGAAGTTTGATTGCTACTGAGTTTCGAGTCTGCAAGAGGAATTACAGTGCGATCAGAGGCTTATTGCAAACCTGCCACGACGACACGAACATTTATCATATTCGTTGATCTTGGAGACTTACCATCAGATACTGAAGGGTTGCGCTACATGAGAAAAGGTTTTGCTATTTCAAATTGGTCTTCTATCTTCTCCGCGCAGATCTGGTGCGATGCTAGCTTTAACATAGCCCGACATGTGGATCTAAGCAAGACTCGGATCGCCAGACGACGCGTATCGAGACTGCCGATATGACGCAATCCCGCAGTCGACAGAAAAATGACAATCGGGTTCTCGCTGATCAACATTTGGTTTTAAGAGGCGAAAAGAACAATACTCACAACCTTTCTATCAGAAAAATTGCTTCACTGCCTAAAAAACTTCAGTCGGCCAACTCGGCTGCAGGCCTGCAGCGAACCAGTGCTGAAATTATTCTGTAACTTGAAGTTTTACTCGTGCCACACGCAGTTTGACCCTGAGTTGGCAATCCTACCTTTACGTTGACCCTTAAGGCTAGAAAGACAGGCCATCGGCCACGCGTTGTTCCTTGAACTCGTCCTAAAAGAGCATTCACAAAGTGAACTAACCCAAGTGTGGACGATTAGTAGGCCTTGATGTCATGATCTTGATCGGAATCAGAAGATGGCGCAGCAAGTGATACATAATATGCCTGTGCAAGAACTTTGAACTGACAAGGAATTAGGGTGCTCCCTGAAGCTAGGGTTCATTGTCGACGAGTTCAGCGGAAAGAAGCATGCAGCATGCTAGTAGTAAGAAAGAGAGCACTTCGCGGCTCGGATGCAGCGGAAGTATCCGAACTGAGAATGTAAAGTCTAGGCTGAAGCCCATCTCCGAGTATGCACAGCGACGGTCGGAGTAAGGGGACTGACGGTCACTGAACTGACTCAAATAATCTGTGCTTGACCGGCACTGTTGGAGGTTACTTCCGCGTAGCCTGAAATTATTTCTCAGCAATCTCCGCCGGAGGAGAAATCCTCTCATTTCATTTAAAAAAAATCACAATTGGAGGTATGATCACAAAAAAATTTCACAACCTGGGTTAACATAAGTCGTAAGGGCCTCGCGCTCGACACGAGTCACCCACCACTCTCTAGCCATCCTCGGACAAGGTTGCTTTTTGGGGGATTGAGCGCCAAAAAATTTAAGGGTCTTCAATGTTCAGTTCGCACAGATCTAGCCCAAATTAGCACTCCATTTTCTGGACGCATAATTAATGGCAAGTGCTGGAATCAGGATTGACAACCACGATTTTGGATATTTCGAAGCGGAGAAACATTTCAGCAGCCGCCACTGATCATGATGAAAGGTCGCTATAGCCAGCGGCGCTCGGCCTCAGTAATTGCGAGCCATACCCGAGGAAACGAGCTCTGCGAATCCTGAAGGCACCACTAGGTTCACTCTACTTTTATGATCAGACTTAATGATTCTGCCTGTTCCGGTTCACTTCACCATGCGTTATTTCTTGGTTTCAGTACGTCAACAAACCTGTTCAAAACTCCTCGTATCAGGAGCGAACGAGTCACTAATTCCAGGGCTGTCATAAATCAGTCTCAGTCTAGTTTGCAATCCCGTCTGGAACGTCACTCGCGCTTACAAAAAGCAAGAGTTTGTTCTTTGATACTATCCAAGCTCGAGCTTGTCACCCGTCCCCCCCGCCGCTGTGGACATGAACCGCTTCATTCGAGAACGACCTGTAGCGGAATATGTCGACCCTTCCAATGTCTCCTTCCGTGAAGGAGTCGAAGACCAGAGCTCTCTCTCAAGTTCAGAGGACGATACTGCTGTCTATTTGTTCTATCCTGATGCAAACAAGATGGACACAGACATCGACGGTGAGCTACCTTGTCATAATGAGACCCACACATCTCGCTCAAATAACTTTAGACGACGGAAACAACTCCCTGACATCACAGGCCTTGAATGCAGATGGCACGCCTAAACGTCCCATGAATGCGTTCATGATTTTTGCTCGCAGGAGACGACCCCAAGTCTCTGCGGAAAATCAATCAATGCGGACAGGGGATGTAAGCAAAGTCTTAAGTCGAGAATGGAATGCTATGGACATGGTAATGTATTTTATTCACGTTTGTGACGGTAGTTCTGACCTTGAGATCATTCAGTCCGAGAAGCAGTTCTACCTTGATCAAGCCAAGCAGCTGAAGGATAATTTCAATATCAAGTATCCAGATTACGTTTATAAACGGAGACCGAACAACAGCCGCAAAAAACGAAGAGCAGACTACACGGGCATGGCTGGAGACTCTGCTTCAACCGTGGACTCCGTCGACGATCAGTCTTCCAATCCTGAGTACGGCGAGATATCTCCTGTCGAATACCATCATGATTCTCAAGAAAGATATGAGAGCAGTAGGCTAGAAGTCTGTACATCCGCGGAGGCCACACATGATGCTTCCTACTCGCCTCCGGCGCAACCGTCGAGTCATCAACCGGCTGATTCGTCACCATATCATCCCCATAGTAGAAACGATATACGGTTGCCGTACCTATCCTCTCACGGGAGCGTCACGCCTGATGCCGTTATGGGCCCATCCTCATCCGTACCTCGCGGATCGACGAGTACTACTTATTTCCCCCCCTTCGTGCAAGATACAACCCATGCCCCCTCAGCGTCTTACCTGCCAAGTCAGAGTGGAAGTGAGGGGCAGTGGCACCACTCCAGTCGTTCTAATAGAGACGGTTTAGCAGGCATGCCCGTCCAATCTTGGTCACAGAGTGGTCCAGAACCATCTTTACGCGCTGGAGACGACATGCATCGTCAGTACCAAGTAGCTCCATCATGGGGTTCCAGCCGCTCGGGGCCATCAGCTTCGAACAATCCATCAGTTCATTCCTCGAGCTATGGATTTCCCACGCTAAACTCCTTCTATCCGTCTCAGAGCAGCTCCCACAACGTTTATACAGCCCAACAATCCCCGTCACAAATGTCTGACGTTTCTCACCACTACGGTGTTGTTGACCACAGTCAAGGGAACTCAGCGGCACCTGTGCAAGAGGATGCATACCATAACCATCAATATTCCACAGTTTCTACCATGTCAGCCGGATATCCGCAAGGCAGTGGCTCAACCATGCATCAATACCACACGCAATTTCGGAATATTCATGCCTCGGCACCATTGACACCTATGCAGTCAATGCCGCTATGCTCGCACGCGTCATCAATGAACACAACTTCCACCGCTAGATCGGGAACGGACTCTGCCTCTGAACCCCAGTAGTGTGTTGAACCTTGTCGAACATTAGTAGACATTGACGGATGTTTTTTCGGCAGTATAAATGTCTGATCATACGTGGCTCCATATATATTGAATTCATCATTTCCACTACTCAGTTTCATACGGGGGGTTATCAAGTTCATTGTTTACTCAGCTTATCTGTTATTGCCTAGACCCTGTTCTCGTGCTCTTCGCATATCGTATGTTTTTGCTTTGCTTTGATTTGATTTTTAGTACCTGCATTGTACATCACTGTCAAGTATCTGACCGTTTATAATAATTCTGCAACTCAAATAGTGGGTTGATCATCGATGATTCCCGCCTTGCCCAAAAAGAATCGGGATGATCGCTCCGTGATTACCGATGGTCGCGAGTGCCATGTTGCGGGAGAAACAATCACGGATTACCCACGGAGGTGATGACCTCAAACCTGAGCGGGCGGCACCGTAATCCTGGATTCAGCCTCAAGTTGCATATCATTGTGGGATACATCGCAATCAATAAATATAGGCATAGCATGAACTTGATATAGCATATGGAAATAATACAAAAAATATCTAGACCGCGGTACATGATTCCCGACGGTCTTGCTGACACTGAACTGCAAAAACGAAGTACTGAGATACGTGGTACTGCCCAGCTGTATGATTCTAGTTCCCCGCCACGGTGTCACACGACAACATGATGACACATGGTCACCGCTGTTCCGGTTCAACAGCAGACGTTCCACCGTATGTGGCTAGAGGAAGCGGCGGTAACAAAGTATATGCTTAAGTCAACGCAATTGCAGAAAATAGAATGAGGCGAACATGTGTCGGACGACATATCTTCACAGGCCGTTAGGCTGGCGGGTGATTGTGACTTGCAAATCCCGATCTTCATCATGGCAATATTAATGGCGTAGGTTATTCATAAATCTGTCGGAGATGGCTCAGAATCGAGGGCATCGTCCTGGATGGAGGAAGCATGACTGAGGCCTGTCGGCGATATGTGGGACTTGGTTGGTCAATTTCCTGATAGGACAGCGCCGGCATATCCTTGTGACTGTGCCGCAGGTCGGGTCGTGGCGGTGACCAGGTACGGTGGTACCCTGAATGTGGCCAAGGTCTTGCTAGTGTCAATTCAGGCTAAGTGGTTTGTGTAGCACTACTCACGCGTGGTTCCAAGTACAGTTAACGTGGGGTAAGCTTGGCCAAGGAAATGGTCCGAGTTTTCCCCAGAAAAGCCATAGGATATTCCAGGTGTTCGTTATGTGTCTCCCAGCACACCTTGTACTTCCTTGATGAGGCCAAGGATTTTTTTTAAATGAAGAAGCACATAGAGTGGAACACCGATCTTCAAACGGGTAATCTCAACCACCGAATCTTGCTGGCGGAAGGACGTGAGTAGCGACAGTTACGTGGTGGGAGATCGCTCACAAAGTGGGAGGAGGTGCCGTGGCAAACAGAACAAACCGCCCACGGTGGTTATAGAAAACAATCGGAGACGATTGAGCTTAAAACTGTGGACTGTGCGCGGGAAAGCAAACTCTTTAGTGGATTTCGTAAAGTAAATTCAATAAAGCAATAAGACCACAAATATTCTGCAGCAACGTTAGACTACAATCATGGCGGATAGATCGCACTGTGGAGATACGCATGCACGCACCCTGATACTGACTCCGGTCGGTTGTCAATATTTCCGAGAATTGTCCTACTTTGTCGGTGTTCTTCACCGCGGATTTGAAGGTGAACACTTATCACGCATGTCAGTTGGGTTGACAAACGTTCCATACAGAACCAACTTTGAGAACTTGCGATAATATGGGTTGCTTCTTGTGCGAATAACTTCATGAATCATAGCCAGCAGTGGTTGCAATGCACGTGGCCCATCTTCCAGCCTAACATAGCTGTAACCAGCATTCAAGTGACCTGATGGGACGCAATCACAATAAACGGCAATGTGCATTGGGAACAACCTATTCAACCCTCTAAGACTGGATGAAATTATGGGTGAGCTAGCTATTACGTTCGGTCATGGACAGATCAAAGTGGAGATATGCAGGTACAACATGATGTGTCAACAACTTTCTCTGAGTGGTCGATAAATCAGGAGACCATATCTATACCATAAAGAACTGACTTACCAAGCCATTTTTGGGGCAGTGACGGCCACCGCAAAAAGAACACCGCCAAACTCATCCTGCTATCTGTTTCTGCCTTGCTCACGCAGGTACCAACATGTCTCCCCATGTTCTAGCAACAAAAATTCCGGCTGCAAACACACCCATTCCCGTCACGATGCTGATGTTCCCGGGTAATTTTTCTGGAGCAGCGATTTGTTCTCGAATGAAGCGGGATAAAGCAGACTCGTTTGGATCAACGATTTGACGGCGTGCAGGTGCTGTGAAGAATGCAGGTGTTGCGTTTGCTGGTGCTGCGCGACGAGCCATGTCTGTTTCTCTGTGGTGTGGCGAATAAAAAAGGTTGGGTGCACAGACGTTTCCAGCGGCGAGGCTGTCGCGGAGTTTGAGATGCGACACTTAGTCAGCAATTGGCATTTTCACGTAAATCTATCAAATTGTGACCGTCACATGATTGGCCCTGCCTCGAGAATACTATGTAGGTCAGCAGAGCTTTAAATTGTCTTCTCGACTGTTGCTGATTCTGTTAAATAGCGTGCCGACACTACGAACAAGCCAATTGTTTTTTACTTGGCAGGTTTCGTTCTCGGCATGTTGTCGGCATCCCAGAAGTCGGAAGGCCCCTATGACTTTTCGATCATGGGGGTGAGTGAATATCGGAGAGATTTGAAGTACGCTGCGCATTGCATCATGGATCTTACAAATGGTGAGTGAATTATATATCTTAAAGAGCACCAAGAAATTAACGTTCCTCCCAACAATCACCATATCACTATCATGTTGTTTGCGTCGCTTGTTCTTTTCACTGTTCTCCCTGCTGTTCTCGGCCAGGCTTGGCAGCAATACCTAGCTGGACTTGTACAAACCTTAAACACTGATGGGCTTACAACGCTGGCTTCTGCGAGTGCTGCATTAAGTAGCTCATCTGGTGGGCAGCAAGTGGCGCAGTCACTCTCTACAGGTAACTGGACATTATTTGCACCCAACAATCAGGCTTGTAAGTACTTCACCATATAACGGAAGGATGGCACTTAATCCTTGTTTTACAGTCAGCTCCTCTCCTATCAATCTCACAAGTGACCCAACATCTATTCTGGATCTCCTTTCGTACCATATCGTACACGGTAATTTTACCGATCAAACTCCGTCATATCCAAACATCACTCTTGGGCGAACGCTGCTTAATGATTCCTCACTCGTTTGGTTGGAAGGTAATGAATCCCAGGTTTTAGCGTGGTCGAAAGGAAGTAATGGGATATTTGTGCTCAACAATGGGTGAGACTTTCCATGTCTATTGATTAACTGCTTCTAAGTGGTATTTAGCACAACTGTTCCGGTCGTGAACAAAACAGCCTATCAAAACATCGAAGTCCTTGTCATCGACTCTGTCCTTGATATTCCTCAAAACTTGTCCAATACTATTACTAACAGTACTTACGACGTCACAAGCGTTGCGGGTGGACTTTCGTCTATCACTGTCCCTACCAATAATTCGAGTACACTGCTCGATGTGCTCAACAACGCTCGCGGTATAACCCTTTTCGCGCCAAATAATTCTGCTATTGCGTCAGCGAGCTGCATTGGCGGTTTGCTGCCAAATAATACTGCACTGATTGCACTTTTCGGGAACCATGTTTGTCCTTTCATCACAACTCGTCCTACTTGGTTTGACTCTATTTCTAGATTATTAATGCTACAACCGTTTACTCGTCAGAATTTACGAATGGAAATAATTATACTTCGGCCTCTGGTGAACCGTTCGCCTTCAAGACCAACTCCTCTGGAGTGTACGTGTCCAGCGCCGGCTCCAATTGGGCGCGCATCATGCGGTCAGACGTATTGACGTCCAATGGAGTCGTACATGTCATCGATAGTGTTCTTCTCGACACGAAAGTCAACGTTTCCGCTGCTACCTCTGCGTGCGTATCGTATGTCAGTAGTATGGTATCACTCAATATTGACTCATCTCCCCTTTCGTCATTTAGCTATCAATCGGCTACTTCAGTTGCCGCGACGATGACCACCGAGACCGGCCCTGTGGGCGTTGCGCATAATACTTCTGTTGGACATTGAAAGACTCATTGATTCAGACGGACCTCTCAAGCTTGGGATATTATTGTCGAGGCCAGTTGCATAGTTGCTCATTAATGCTTGTTTCGTTTATATTTTTCGTTTATTTGTGATTCTTCATCTCACATCTTGTAGCTCTTTAGTGTAATAGTAATATTGTTGTCAATCACTGAGTGAATGTAGGTAGGTTTCGTTCTTCTAAAAGCTTATCTGATGGAGGGAGTGCCATGGTGACCAGTCCCTAGTCAGTTCTGGGCCTGAGAACGTCCATAATTAGGCTTGGTCCACACCTAACCATTAGTGGTTTCTGGGCACTTTTCCACTATCTATTTGAGCTGCTGAGCGCTACACACCTTCCCTCTACGTTGAACGCACCATCACCGTGTCTACCATGAAACACTTATCACTGAAAGAAGCTTTGCTTCCTCAGCCTCCCAGTTTCGTGAAAAAACAATCGTATGAGATCCATGAAATTCTTGGATCAGGGACGTTTGGAAAAGTCATGGTGAGTCTTGGGACCATTGGTATGACTCTGAGGCATATCTCCTCCACCTCCTATGCGGCTATCATATCAATCATCTAATTATGCACCTTAGCGAGCGACATGGCACGTCCCCCCTGACCTAGCCGATGTTTCGCAGAAAGGGGCATTCCCGACGTCGCCATCATCTCCAACTGACCACAACCCTGGTCGATCCTGCATTCCTCTTCTCCATCCGCATCATATGAAGAGGTCCATTTCTCGAACATCCAATTCCTCCGCCCCTCCATCACCGGGAGGACACAACCACGCCGCACTAGTGAAAGAGGTTGCGTTAAAGGTCATTCCAAAGAAGAAAGTAAAGGGAAATGAAGCTGCTGTCTGGGGCGAGATGGATATTTTAAAGGGTCTTGACCACCCCAATATTGTTCGTGTTTTGCGCCCAGCCGTTCTGATGTGTGTCTGACCTCCGAGAACAATACAGGTCAAGTTTTATGAATGGTTCGAGTCTCGATCAAAGTATTATCTTGTTTTTGAGCTAGCTGTCGGTGGCGAGCTCTTTGATCGTATATTGCAAAGAGGAAAATTTACTGAAAATGACGCCGTTGCAGTCATCCGGTATGCTTTAAGAGTTGTACACTATCTACAAATTGACGAATCGTCTCAGGTCAATCTTGTCGGGAGTGAAGTACCTACACGAGCATGATATCGTGCATAGGGACTTGAAGTATGTTCTTTTGATCCGAGGAAGCCGAAATCATAATTCTAATACGTGTACAGACCTGAGAATATTTTGTACCGAACGAAAGACCCGGATAGCGATGTCGTCATAGTTGACTTCGGAATGTGAGGGCCACCCTTCCTGAACTTATGTTTCAATGACGCCTTCGTTCGAAGTGCAAAACATCTGCATTCTCCGGAAGAGCAGCTGCATTCGCTGGCCGGGAGCTTTGGCTACGTCGCTCCCGAGGTTCTTAATAAGCAGGGGCACGGGAAAGCAGTGGACATCTGGTCAACGGGGTAAGCGCTTGTTTATTGCATCAAACCCCATGTTTGTGATCAAAGGTCGACGGTGCTGACATCGTGACCTCCTTGCAGTGTCATCGCTTATGTTCTGCTCTGCGGTTACCCTCCATTCAAAGGAGGTGATACGCATGAGATGATTCGGGAGACCACAGAAGCCAAGATTGAATTTCACGAGCGATATTGGTCCAAAGTCTCCGATGAGGGTGAGCTGATGGTTGATGGTGATGATTGTGTGTATACTAATATCAATCCATACAGCGAAGACATTTATTAAACTTTTATTGAACCCTCATCCGTCGCAACGACCTACTGCACAACAAGCTCTGAACAATCATGTAAGTTACGAGTTCATCATCTACGTATTTGTGGGCTGACTATGTTGATAGTGGTTGACGACGCATGAGGCTTCTACGGAACACGACGTCATCTTAGGTCTGAGAGAAAATTTCGACGCTCGCAAGCGGTGGCGCACCGCCATCATGTCAGCGCGCATTATCAACCGGTTCAGCAGACGACCAAGTACGGCTTCAAGCAATGGTAGTGGCGGTTGGGGTGAAGACCATGTGCACGCTGACAAAGGCGAGGAAGATGGTGAAGAAGATGCTGCAGACGGCGAGTTCCACGACGTGTGCGATCAAATTCAGGCATCACTCTCATTAGGTGGGATCGACCCAGGATCAAACGAGAATGTGAAAGTTACAGGGCCGGATGACAAAGGTGATCAGCTGGGTAAGGGGGATATTTCCAGTGCCCCTGATGTTTGTTTGACTACCAGTGAGTCCAGTGTGAACACCACAACAGCCTTTCCGTCGCTTGCCGCCTCTCTCTTGAAAGAGGAAGCAGATCACCTGGTGGAACGAGTGGATACCGCAGGGTCATACGTTGCAGCTGATGACGAGTCAGAGCTGAAGGTTCCGGGATACTTACATGGAGGGAAGGTTCCATGGCGGAATTTTTCGCCCGTTTCCGGTCATCATATGTGGTCCGATGTGCCGAGGAAGTTTTTTGGATTGTAAGGGTTACATTCCGTGGATCTCGAAGTCAGCCGTAAGTTATATTTGATGTAACACTACGCACAGCTTAATAACCTAGCTATTTCATTTGCTACTTGATTCTGGCCGTTGTACGTATTTCCACCTGTCAAATGAAAGATAGTGGTCAACATGCACAGGGTTGAAACGTTGATATCCCGAGGATGTTTTTGAGAAGGTTCTTCCGTTCATCACGAACTCAGGTTATGTACATGTACGTGAATGAATGTATACCTAAATCTTTCATTTACCTGCATCAGGAAATCACGAGTTTACTTAGTCCTTACTTATTCCGAACTTTTCCCACTTATTTAAAATGGACCTACTTCTTTCTGAAATTTGACAAAATTGAGTATTCCAATATGTTTGTGGGGCCTGAAAGTCATGTTTCATTGCATAAGACCAACAATTAGGTGCTGTTTGGACAATGACTTCTGGATCCAAAATTCCCAGTTCTAGTGATGTGCACGGCCCGGCTTGAGGCCCTGGGCCGGCCCAAGCTGGGCCCAGCCCAGGCCTAAGTCATGGCCTGAGGAAGGCTTGGGTTTCGAGAAGCCTGAGCTGACGGCTTTGGCATGTTCAGTGGCACTGCCATAGAAGCAATGTGTAGGTACCCATTCAAAAGCCTATGATCATGATATACTAAACAACACATTTCAGATCCCTGGTGATGTGTTCAACTTACGTTACGACAAGTTGGTCATAGCTGTTGGTGCTTACTCACAAAGTACGTGGACTGTAGTACCGTGATCCATATCATTCTGACAAAATTAATGATAGCATTCAACGTACCTGGCATCAAGGAGCACACACATTTCCTCAAAGACGTGCAAGATGCTCAGGAAATCAGGATGTGCATAATAGATTGTAAGTGTATCTACTTGTTGTGATAGACACCACTTACCTTGCCTAGGTTTTGAGCAGGCCAATCAACCTGTCCTCTCTGACATCCAACGCCGAAACTTGCTCAACTTCTGCATTGTCGGTAAGTATCCGGTCTCTAATGACATCCACCACCTGCCGCAACCACTACCCTACTCCAGCAACAACCAGCATCTAGCGCATGTGCCCAGCACACGCCAACATTTGCTGGCATGGCTAAGGCGAATGTGGACGACACTTTGGCGAAGGAGAAAGGAAGGTGCTGGGGAAAAGAGAAAGCAGAAGAGGAATGAGTGAAAGAAAGTTGTTGAGGAGACAAACAAGGTGCGCTGCCCACTCCCAACCTGCCTAATCCTCTGCAACTGACTGCCATGTGACATTGGCCTACTGAGCCACGGCCTGTTGGGCTCAAGCCCCCGGCTTGGGCTCATGGCTCAGGCTCTGATTTTCCTAAGCCTGAGCCACTCCAAGCCGAGCCTAAGCCGCAGCTTTGAGCCCAAGCCAGGCCGGAACATCACTACCCAGTTCAGACTGCATGTGATGACTGCATGTGAGTGGGATCACCTGAATACATCCATTGCCATCATCTGCAAACCAGAATGATCTGTACAGAGCTGTATAGTGCACAAGCTCTACAGCTTGGTCCCTACTAGCCAGTTTGTCACAGTAGCTCTTTACTTTGTGGATATCTGTACAGATACTCACAGACCACCCAGTGAATAACAACTACCTGTAAAATTGCACATTTTTTCACTGTCTATGTATGTACAGACACTTACAGAGCACTCGAAGAGCAATCATTGTGCACACATTCATTTATGTACAGTCCACATTAGGAAAAAATTGAAGTGCTACATAGCGCTACATAGGCTACATACAACTTGTAGCCTCATTGCAGGTCCCCCCCCTACATAGTGCTATATACCTCAGGCTATATGATTAATTGTGCTACATTGTATCCAGTATCTCGTACATCAGCTATATAGCCCTGCTATGTAGTGCCACATAGCCTCCAATAGTAAGCCAACATAGTTCATACCAGTGATACCACTCAAACAAGTGAGAACAATTTGGATATGCATTCATTATTCATTATTCTACTCATCTTCGCATCTGTTATCCTCAGATTGACTACCTTCATTTTCATCCTCATCACCAGTCTCATTCACACCACTGCCCTGCTGATATTTGCGAATGACATTGTGAATCTCATCATCCGAGAGACAGTCTGCATCTCTGACATCAGCCAGATCTACTTTTGCATGGATTCTGTACCGTCGTCAGCAAGACTGCGAGATTTCCAAAAAAGAAAGACCCTTACCTCCCATTATCATTAATCTCCTTCAGGATACCATTGAGTATGCCGTGGTCCTTTGTTCGCAAGTGGAATTTGTTGAGGTTAGCAAGGTGCTTGTCATAAGCCTCCTTGTACTCACCACACGAAAAACTAATATCTGTCCGCTTGCCGTCAACCCATTCGTCAACACAATATTCTGCCTGACATAGATGTTAATATCGGAACCAAACCAGTAAACACATGACTCACCGCTGCATACACTAATGCCAAGGCAGGAATGGGAAACAGAGTAAAAAGCTTCTCAAACATTACCCCTTCGTCTTTCTTGTTACTATACCAGAGCAGATTTTCTGCTTTCTGATTCAACTTCATGTGAAAAAGCCTGCTGCGAGGGACCTTAGTTTTCTTGTCTCCGAGGTTCTTCCAACAAAGTCTAAGTAGACTATATGATCCAGCGTATTAATCACTCACCCGGTAACATAGACCAAACTTGTTCTTGAGCTGACAGGCCAGTCTGCGATTCCTGGACTTGACAGACTCCCGACTGCCGTGCTCGAAGCCGTAAATATTCTCGATAAGTGAATGAACCTTTCCTTTCACCTGACTGGTGAGATGTGACATGCGACAAGTAATCTAAAGCCAGAAATCAAGCAGGTGAAATAATAGAAACAAACCACATACAATTTGTATGATCTCGCTATTGAAGGCCATCTCGATCTCGTAAGACGCACATCTCTCCTTCCATGCCTCCTTTGCCCACAATACTTGAGTCATGCGGTCTGGATACGCATACTCAGAAGCAAGGCGGGCACAAAAAGAGCTAATGGAAAATTTAATTAGCTGCTGCACAGCTACCTTGTAATCACGCGCTGCAACTTGGCCTTTACTCCATTGGATTTTTTGTGGCAAACACTGTTGCTGGGATGAAGGTGAGTCCTCAGAATCGCACATCTGTTTGTGGCTGTTGCCCTCACTATTGGAGGGTGATCGCGGATGCTTATGCAAACCTAAAATCATTCAGCTGTGGTGTGCGAGCAGCATAGTATCACTCACCATCACAGTTAGCACTGTCCTCCCCATCTCCATCCATGAAAACGTCACTATTGCCTGCGTCATGGTCGATACTGCTGGGTCATTTTGCATGCCTGCTGGTGTATATTCACTGGTTCCGCCCGCTTCAGACTTTTGACGAAAATCTACAGAGTTTTTGACTCACCAAGTCTTCATGGCAACATCGACCCAATGCAGCAGTTGTACCAGTTGACCGAGTGCTTCAGCCAGTTCACCTCGCGCCCCGAATCAGTCAAGAGGCGGCAGAAGAGTTTTACCTCAACAGATATATTGATTTAGAATTATTTGAGCGCCTCTCGTAGTACAGGCTGTGCGGAGCTTGAGGAGCAATGATATTGGGTATATAGCACAACATTGGCTATCATGAACAAGGTGGGATTGCATAGCTAATATTGGCATCCGAGTATGCTACAGGGCTGTATGTAGTGATATGTATCATACGAGGGCGCTCTATTGAGCTATGTATCATATGAGGAGGCTCTGTTGAGCTACATGGCCTACATAGTGCTACGTAATCTTGCACAGTGCAACTCATGGCCAATGTTTTTCCTGATGCACCCAAGGTGTTTAGGAATGATGGCAATATATTCAATCATGTGGTATGAAAACATCAGTATACTAGTACTGTATAGACATGCACTTAGGTTCGGCCCTGTTTAGGTGTGACCAAATGAGCATTAGGTTCGAAGGTTCACAGGGGGGTTGTGATGTGTGACATACTGTGATTAGGTTCATTTGTGCTACATGCTGAGCGCTGACAGTGCTGATCCTCAGGCCTCATGCTCAACCTGGAAGTGCTTGCTCTACAAACATTGCCTCTAATTTTATTTCTGCCTGGCAACACAATATCTTCTCTATATGTAGTTTCAGTGTCTGTCTCGTCAGTGTGGATCCTCCCATGTTTGGCAAACCTGAGCACTAAGCCACAACTCACTCAACGAGATGGTCAGTCTGAAAGCATCTCCCCTCAACATTCATTCTATACCATGTCTGATCTCTGTGTCCCCTCAGGTGCTAAACTCCAGGATGTGCTATTTATACCTGCACCATTCTCCATTGCCCCCTCTGGCCAACTTTCTGTCGCTGAATTACTACTTCTAAACCTGCATACAGTGTTAGAAAACAACACATTGGCCACTAGAATCCATTTTTCCAAAATTCCCCTTTGCTTGAGTTGCCCACAGATTTCGCTTCATGACCTGTTCCACCATTTCAAGCAGCGTCATCCCTTCGCAATCGCACTAGCAGTGCATTCTGAGACAGAGATAAGTCAGTGATCCATCCTTCATTCCCTGATGATCTGCTTCCTATGTGGGTTGTGTCATACTGGGCTGCCATGTCACATGCACTTGAGAGTCAGCGTGATTGGTGCATGTCTTATGACTGGGTCTTAGACCAACTTGATGTTGTTCTAGCTGATGGACAAGAGTTGGAAGTTGTTGATGAGGTGCTAGATGTCTCAGAGAGCCTTCCATGGGATGCCCCTCTCAAGGGATTCAGTGCTCAGACAGATCTAAGGACTATGGAGCTCCAACTCCTGTTGGCATCATGCCCGATTCATGGATGTGTTTTGGACTCCATGATTGCTGCAGTTGTCCAGCAAATGCAGGCATCCGACCTCCAGTTTGTTTCTGTTAAAACTCTTGACTTTGCAGATATCCTTCGGCTCAATGAGAAACAGTGGAATAACTATGAGACAGACAGGGCTTTCGTTCGCCTTTGCACTATTGGCTCTGCATTGCATGATGGCACACTTCATTGTATTCTCTTCCCCATCAATATCGACAATGTTCACTGGGCTGTCATTGAGGTCAATACTGTCAACCAAAGTATATCCTATGCCAACTCCCTTGACTGGAGCTGGCCTAATGACAACATCAATACTATAAATCGTTGGCTGGGCTATCATGGTTTCGGCAAATTTGACAGGGCAACCACACTCCAGCATGGTGAGCAGCGAGACTCATTCTCGTGTGGTATCGCAGCTATAAACACAATCAAGCATGCACTGTTTCATGACCCATTGTTCACCAATGATAGAGCATTTTCCCTCCGCATGGGAGAATTTCTTTATATTGCTTATGATCACCTCAAGGTATGAATACCTCATTCCCAATGACACAAAATTGAGACTCACTGATATCTTTACATGTCACAGCTCTCTGATCCCAATGACAATTCAAATGATGGCAACAGCTCATACTCAGACAGCGACAATTTTGAGATAGAAACTCAATTACCATCCCCACCAAACTCTACCTCCGCTAAACTGAAACTTAACCTCTGTGCCTCCAATGCTGATTGAAGCGCTGGTCTGTTCCAGTTTTTCCCAATGATTCCGTGTGATGAGCATCTAAAGCTTGTCTGGAAACCTGCTCCAGCGCTCAAGGATCAGGAGCAGCAGGAGTTGGTCCATTACCAGAGAAGGATGAATATATTCGAGAAGACTGCTCAGAAGCGTGAAAGGGCAACCGAGTGTAAGAGAAAGCAGCGAGCACATGAAAAGGCCATGAAGGAGGTAAGCATGTATCATCTTTCATTTCATCTTAATAACTCACATGTTGTCTCATCAGAAACCATCAATCAATTCAGCTCTTCATGACAATAAACCTCGGCCACCAGCAATTAGTATTGCAGAGGTGTCACGTCCATACCGCCAATTCAAAAGGCATGCAAAGACATCCAACCTAGGCCATAAGTGCAAGCAAGAGGACAGAGGTGCTTTGCGTGTCAACTGGCAGAGCCCTCTCTTATGGCCGACTGTTGAAGCGGCTGCCATTTGTGTTGGCTATGGAATATCACTGATCGAGATTGAGCGTGAGCTTAAGCGAGTCAATCCCTCTCGTTTTCGTGGTATTTCTGCACAGGTTATAGGAAGATGGATTGACCATAGTGGGACACAGCCAGTATGGCATGCCAATGTCCTTGCTCGTGTTCAGAAGGGAAACCTTCCCTTGACCACTGGAACACCACCAAGCATCCTCTCAAAGTACCCCGACGTCACAAAGGCCATTATTGAAGATCTCTGTGCTTTGTGTACTGTTGGTGTGGCTTTGGACACAATGCGCTGTTGTGGTGTAATCATTGCTCGTCTCACTGTCTCTTGTCCCAAAATCTTTGAGGCCACTGCCAAGGACAGTTCAAGCTTTTGATGCTCTGAGTCTTGGGTCAAGAAATTCGTACATCAGAATCTCAACTGGTCATTTCGTCAAGCCACTCGCACTGCACAAAAGACTCCTTCCAATGCCAATCAGCTCTGTCTAGACCAATTTTATCATCTAATGTTAACTATCCATGACTGCACAATCTTTGATGCTTCCTTCTATGTCAACATTGACCAGACGAACATCATCTATCAACCCATAAACACTGCTACATACCAAGACGTTGGTGCCAAGCAAGTTGCCGTCATCAGACAGGAGGAAAAATGAGCGTTCACCGTGCTTGTTGGCATCTCTGCCTCTGGGGATGCTCTTCCGTTTCAGGTCATTTATTGTGGTAAAACTGCTTGCTCACTTCCCTCAAAAACCACGCCACAATTCAAGGATGCACAAGACTTGGGGTTTAAGCTGTGCTTCTTCAATACTGATACTTATTGGTCAACATTCCTGCTCATGTGTGACTATGTTTGCAATATTCTAGTTCCTGTACTGGACAAGAAAAAAGGAGCTCATTGGGGCCCCTGATGATCAAGAATGTATCCTAAGCTAGATGTTTGGTCAGTAAGTCTGTGCAGTTTCGCACTTGGCTTGATCAGCAGTGCCCATGGATCAAGTACCTACTTTGTTCCTGGCAGCTGCACTGGAATTGCCCAGCCATGTGATGTCAGCATCCAGCACCTGTTCAAGCTTGCTATCAAATGATCTCAACACACCGACATTGTTGAGGAGTCACTGTCTTTGCTGAAGAAAGACAAAGCTGCACATGTCATCCGACTGGACACAATGTTACCCACTCTCCTGTGATAAATTCTTTATGCTGGCTCATTAATAGTTACCATACTATTAATAAGCCCAACATAGTCAAACAAGTATGTTGCTCACAATGTCCTTGTTTTTCTCGCTGACATTGCCACACTCAGTCGTTCTTTCAGTGCAAGGCTGGCACAGCATTCAATCTCTCTTTCGAGAGCCTCACCAGTCATGAGGCTCTCCATGCACTGCATGACATGCAGAAAAATGACACCGCAACTTGGGATCATATCAAAACGGCTCAATATAAAACTTCCCAGGCCAACAAGGAAGCCGAGCCTCCTTTCACACATGCAGCAGACGTTGAACTTGATCCTAGTGATATTCCCATGAATACCATTCTGGACCACATTGCATTGGGTGAAGTGTCTGTCCCTCATGGCTATAGTGCTGATGAATCAGGTAATCTACTGCTGGATAATGAGTCAGAGAGCTATGAGCAAGTGGTGGATGGCATGGAGCTTCAATCCATGGTGAATGGGTCTGAGGAGGTTGAGGCTGAGGGCCGTGGTAAGTGCAGACATGTCGCAAACACTCAGTACAAGGACTTTGGGCAGCACTAGTTATTTTTTTAATGTTTTTACTACATGTCACAATTTAGGTTCAATGGTCTCAAAATTGGTGTGACCATCACACAAATTAGGTTCGATTCGCCCACCTGGGTATCCCAATAAGTAAGCCTTATTAGGCTGTGCGCTTATGTGTCTTGCCCACACTTGTTTGGCTCAACAACAATGTTTCCCCAACACCAGCGTTAAATAACACCCTAAATAATGTAGGTACTTAGGGTATTTGACTGTCCCGCCACTTACAGAATGTGCCTTCCCCCGGCAATGTCCATAGCGCCTCCCGCCCATTACTAGTATTAGGAATATCAAGTGTTTACTCCTCCCCAACACCCAACAATACCCAACCCCATCTGCCTTTGCCATCACTGGCCACCATCATCAGCCTCCAACCTTCCCACAGACTCCAGCACTCCCTTTTCCAGTGCTAGCCGCCATTATCAGCCTCCACCCTACCCACAGCACCACGCAGTGCACGACATCCAATGACACTTGACACCCATCCCGCCCCATCAGCACATAGCCTACCTCTGCCAGCACTGGTCGTCATTATCGGCCTCCAGCCTCCAGCTCCAAACCACTGGAAAATCATGTTGGAAGTCTGCACTCTTTCCTTGCCTTGTGGTTGCAATGTGTAGGTCCCCTTCCCTCATGGTTGCAACGTGGAGGCTTGTATTTATGCTTGCTGCTGCTTACTCTACCCTTGTTCCAGTACCCTCACCCACCTGATTGATAGTGCCCTCATAGCATTAGTGAGTGGCTGTTTGTCTATGGCACTCCATGAAGCTGAAGTTATCACAAGGCGCTACATGTCTTGGCCACAGAGGTCTACAAAAATCAATGGTTTGTCAAAATCAGCTATCAAGCATGGTTTCAGGTGCACACAGCATACTTCAGGTGTTCTTAAAGCGGCAACTCAAAAGGCACGCAAGGATGCTGTTGATGCTAGGCATATGTCTGATCTTCGAGGTATGTTTCAATCATTGTCCAACTACTGGAGCTAATGGTGACTTAGAGTTATCCACGGTGGACCGAGAGAATGTGGAGAGCATGATTGTGGATAATGACATGATTTCTTACAATGACAGCATACCATGGGTGCCGGCACCAGGTGATGAGGGACTTGACCTCAGCCATGAAGGTGGCAAATATGAAGCTCTTCAAGGGCTATCTCATCAAATGGCAGACCTATCAGGATTGTAGGATTATTTCTTTGTTTGTATATACACACTGATTATTCTACTATCAGCTGCTACATGGACCCTAGGACTCAACATGATTGCATTGAGCTTCAAACCAGCCATTGGGATATGCAAATGAACCAGCTTGTTAACGCCTATCTAGACTACCGATCTCGTGATTCTGGCGATGGCATGCCCTCGTTACCATCTGTTGTATCGAATGAAGACCCTTCTCTCAATGCTGTCCTGGTACTCATGAACATTGAGCTCATTGACACTTTCTGTAGGTCATATTGTTGTCGCCACTCATAGTTACTTAAATTCAGCTGGTAGTTCATTGCCAAGATTCATTCCAAGCATCATCTCATAAGTACCCCAACAAAACATTGATTTACCATGGTTATCTTGGTTGCACACCCCTATATCCCACTGTTGCTATTAGTCTTTGTACCCTTGCAGCCTATCAGCAGGCTCACCGGACTTGTCTGCGGTTCAGCCTTCAGGCAGCAGTGCAAAATGCTGTGCCACTTACATGATGTTCGTATATAGCTTACTCATTGTTTATTGAAATCCAACCCATTCTTCAGATGCTGTATCGACTGTATCTCCACACTCAATTTTCTGCTGTCTATGATGCATTTCTCAAAATTCTTCATCGGGTTGATGTACTGCTAAAGCAGGCACTCAAGCACGACACCCCCAACTGGAGGCTGTTGAATGCGTGTCCGCCGTGTACCTACAAACTGGAAGATGAGCCATCACTCCAATTCAAATGGTTTGCCACCATTGACGGTAATAATAGCCTTAAGTGCTGGGTGTCTCATAACTCTGTGTCTCGTGATGACTCTTGTCAGCCAAGAACAGACTACTGGATTGGTCGCAATGTAGTTGACAAATTCAAAGACGACATCAGGTCAAGAACAGTGGGTGTTTGCTTTATTTGTAAGCATGCAAAATAACCTTTTGACCAGGCACTCGACAAGAATGACGGTGTTGATGACTGGGAAGATATACCCAATGATGGAGCCCCTGGCGAGATACCTTTCCATTGCACTGCACGTTGGCAGAATGTGGGACCTGAACAATGCAAGAAGATGTTCTCGGTCTTTGATGAATCTGGGATATTTGTTGCTGCCTGCCATCACCAATTTGTCTTGCTGGCTTGCAATATGATTCGCAGTTGTTACAAGAACATCTAGACGCTTGGGCCCCTACTATTTTCCTCCTGATCCTCCTCGTATCAGCCCTCGCATCATACCCTTACCCCGACCTTACCCTTGTCATCCTCGTCATCCTTGCATTCCCTTTCGCCCTCTACCTGTCGCTTCAGCAAAGCCAGTACATTTGGCCGGATCCTTTCGCTGACGAAGCATACCCATGCTCCGTTTCACCACCTGACTGATCCTGCGGACAGTCCCCTTGCCCTTACCGTCTGGACGGTAACCTATGACACGATGCATGACGCATCCCCTTTGCCCTATTTTCCTTTCTTGATCTCTGACTCGGTGCGCAGTCGCACATGCGACTTATACTTAGATCTGCAGTTGCACGATCGTGCCCCTGTGTGTTTCACTTCTCATTCTGATCTTTGACTCACTTTCTTATCCAGCACGTTCTACCTAGATCGAACGTGCCTTCCTATTATGGTCTTACCCTTTACCGATTGCCTCTCCCGGTAGTACGAGTTATCATCCACTAATACGTCCCCTGTCCTCTATATAAACTTGCTACCATGTACCATATTCCCTAACTTGAATCTACTTGGTTCTTGACCTCCTACTCTCACCAGAGTGATCCTTCTGCCTCGCCAGCAGCCTATATTCTATCTTCTTATCTGCTCTTCGCAGATAAGCCTATAGTCTCGACCTTTACTCATCGACTTCGTCGACGAGCAAAGCCCCTGTTAACTAGTCGGACTTCTGTCCTTCTAATTAACGACGATCCTTACGATTAACCTTCGGGTGTCGTAAGCCTAGGCCGATATAGCTTATCGTCTCGCAACCGCGTGACATAAGCTACCCGATTTGGACATAGGCGTCAAATTGTACTTGCCGAAGACACGCCAAGTACGACCCCTAACCTTGGGCTAGCCCAAGGACGTCCACAGACTGTTGACGACACAAGCTCTGTTTGAGCGTCGCCAACAGATACCATCCAAGTCGTAACAGCAGTGGAGAATTGTGAGTCCCGATGGCACCGGCACCATATGCTAGGCTAATAATTTTAGAGCGAAATATCCACTCACAATCCTAGATCATCTAATGACTGTATATGGGGAAAATGGCTCGTGCGCTTACAACATTGGTTGCGCATTCTCGAAGACAGTGAGCACCAGTTCTTTGGGTTCGTGTGCGTGTGCACTCAGTCTATGCATGATGGTGGGTGCCTTCCATGGACATGCAACAACCACAAGTGCCAATTAGACTGGCCACACTGAAGGTGAAGGATGCGAACACATTTTCTTGTCATCGAATGAGCTCGCATGAAGTACACGACATGCTAGCCGTTTCCATCAGCATCAGTCTATCGAGGAACATTTTAGTTTCTGGGATGCAGATAAATATGCTGCCCTGAGTAAGGGATTTTTTTTCATTGTGTCATGATTCTGAACTCTCTTTCTAAGGCAATTTTTTTATACAATCACTACCGAGAAGCAATTCACGTTATTCGAACCCTACAAGCCGAGCTTTCCATCATCAAATGCGAGTTGTATATTGACGATGCTGACTTTGCAAAGTTCTATGATGAGGAAAAGTTGTACCTCAAAGAATTGAAACAACCACCAATCCAAGATCGCCTTTGCATTCGATATGTTGAAGTTCTTGATGACCTCAACTCGTGCTGGTAAGCACTTGTCCAATCTATCAGTATTTTGCCAAGCTTAAATTGCAGGAACAAATGGAACACTGCTTGATCAACTGCCAACAATGCACTTACCACTGTGAGAGTGGGTAATTTTGAAGAGATTAGTGCTGCCCTTACTACAGCTTGCATCCGTGTTGACACTGCTTATGGAAAGTTGCAAAATGCAGAAGCCTTAGTGGCACACATGGAGATTCAACGTCATGTCGAGGAGCGCTGGGCTGTCGGGTGTCCCAAGTACATGCAGTACAAAGAGGAAGCAACACTAGGCAAGTACCACACGGTGTTGAACGAGCTCAAACACCTTGTTGTTATGAGGCTTTTCGAGCTCTCAAAGCTTCCTTTATCAGGGACAGGTTTTAGTTCTGTCTTGTTCTGTATTATTATATATTTATTTTGTTTTTTTTTAGGGTATGAACTGTTACAAGAACATCTAGACGCTTGGGCCCCTACCATTTTTCTCCTAATCCTCCTCGTATCAGCCCTTGCATCATACCCTTACCCCGACCTTACCCTGGTCATCCTTGTCATCCTCGCATTCCCTTTCGCTCTCTACCTGTCGCTTCAGCAGAGCCAGTACATCTGGCTGGATCCTTTTGCTGACAAAACATACCCATGCTCCGTTCCACCACCTGACTGATCCTGTGGACAGTCCCCGTTGCCCTTTTCCCTTTCTTGATCTCTGACTCAGTGCGCAGTCGCACATTCGACTTATAGATAGCTCCGCAGCTGCACGATCGTGCCCCTGCGCGTTTCACTTCCTATTTCGACCTTTGACTCACTTTCTTATCTAGCACGTTCTGCCTCGCCCGTGTCTCAACGCGAACGTGCTTTCCTTTTATGGTTATGCCCTTTACCGATTGCTTCTCTTGGTAGTACGAGTTATCATCCACTAATACTTCTCCTGTCCTCTATATAAACTCGCTACCATGTACTATATTCCCTAACTTGAATCTACTTGGTTCTTGACCTCCTACTCTCACCAGAGTGATCCTTTCTGCCTCGCCAACAGTCTATATTCTATCTTCTTATCTGCTCTTTGCAGATAAGCCTATAGTCTCGATCTTTACTCATCGACTTCATCGACGAGCAAAGCCCCTGTTAATTAGTCAGACTTCTGTCCTTCTAATTAATGACGATCTTACGATTAACCTTTGGGTGTCGTAAGCCTTGGCCGATATAGCTTATCGTCTCACACCCGCTTGACATAAGCTACCCGATTTGGACATAGGCGTCAAATCTTACTTGCCGAAGCCTCGCCAAGTAAGACCCCTAACCTTGGGCTAGCCCAAGGACGTCCTCGACTGTTGACGACACACGCTCTGTTTGAGCGTCGCCAACAGATACCATCCAAGTTGTAACATGAACTACGTCAGCAAATTGGGAAGGCACTGCAGCGCTGTTCAGAGGCAATTCGAAACACAATTAACTGGTACAATATCCAAGCTGTTGCACTTAACCTCCCTCGGCCAAAGCTGTCCTGGAAAGACATCACAGAGTACAGCTTCTTAGGGGAATTCAGTTTGTTGCATCATTCCCACACAGATGTCAGGGAACAGGACTGGACGAAACCCACTCACCACGAAGCCACAACAAAATATTCCAAACTGTTGCGTGCTCAGGAAGAGGTATCTTGTCTCAACGTCGAAATCTGTTGATTGTGTATGTTCATCCATGATGAGGAAATGGAGATGAAGAAAGTCATTGAAGGCCTTCAATCATCTCATCTCCTCGCATCTGAGTTACAGCGACAGTGGCGAAGTTGTTCAGCCATCAATGCATTCCACATTTTCCATCTCAATCAGATTGAAGCCCTCCCAGGATTTTCAGGTGTGCGTGGCATTGGAGTACATTCATGCATAGATTTGGATGTGGATGACATCATTGCTTCTGAGTATGCAGATGCGGTGTTCTGCATGATGTGGGAATCATGCATGGACATGAATACTAGGTGACCCTCAAAAGATAAAGTCTGGTAGCTTAGTCCTCAGACTAGTCAACCCATACCTTGGTTTCAAACCATGGTTCATATTTCCAGTTTTCCCCAAGTTTCATGATCTGAATATGTTTTGACGGAAAAAGTCTAATGTGAGATGGGAATCACATTTAGACCTAGTTGATGTGAGAAGAGAAATGAAGGTTAAGGTATAGCCTTGCCTTTGGCTTATTCACTTTGGCTAGAGAAAACCATAGAGAAAAGTATAAAGCCAATAAAAAACCTATCCAAAAAGACCGTGTTTCAATTCCTGCCAACTGTCTTATTTTTGCTACCTACTTTTCTCTAGTGTTTCTTTACTTTACTTTTTCATTAGGATGCTTTGACTCACCTGACACTTCATAAAATTGTACTCATAGGGTATGATGTCATTATGATGTCATAAGACTCCACAGATACTCCTGCAGGTATTCTGTTGAAAGATATTATGTCATCAAGCTCTAGATTATTCTACTCCACCCATGATGTCATTTCCTTCTAGAATATTCTGCTCCACAATGACTCACTCTGACTCACTCATGGAAGGTTCTGGAATCTTTTGCTCCACAATGATGTCACTCTTGATGTCATTATGATGTCATAGCTCCATCTTTCACTTGTATTTTATTCTTTTATTGGGTTTGACCCAATATTTTGATTGGTCCTCCTTATTTTTTATTGTTTGTGAACCTAGGTTACTTTCCCACACAAAATGTATATAAGGAGAGCCCATTCTCCCCCAAAAAAATATAATCTCCCATTTGTAGCTATCTGCCTATCAGATATTTCACTTGCAAAGTTAGTCCCTTTGAAGTGAGACAAGTGCAGGGAAAGAATTCCCTTGAGATTATAAATTTCTTACCTTAGAAACTTATTTAGTGCTATAGACCAAGTGTTCTTGGTCACATATATTGTCTTTGAGACCCCTTTGTCTCATTGCTCTGTGCCCTTTGACTAAGCGATCTTAGTCATCTATCATATTGTTGAGACCACGTCTCACTAGTTGTCCCATAGACCAAGCGATCTTGGTCAAGTTCCAGTCCCATTTGTTCAAGCGATCTTGAACATATATATAGTATACTTGAGACCATTGTCTCACAGTCAGTGCCATAGACCAAGCGATCTTGGTCATATTTCGTATATTTGAGACCACGTCTCACTAGTTCCAGTATCCAAGTCCAGAGCCTAGAAGGAGATTTCCTAGGCAAATACATTCCAGAAACCGAATTACGTGTCTAGAAGCTTATTCCTAGACAAGAGATTTGAGTTTCAATAAAGAAAAGTAAAGTTCCGCTAGGTTGATCTTTATAAAAGATTAGTTTAGCGAGCCTCCCAAGAACACACACGTTATCTACCACGAAATAGGAAAAGTTGTAGACCGTGTTAATTGAGGACTGGCAAGCAGTCTTATCCAAAGTGTAATTTGTGGTGTCATTACATTTACACGACTTTATATAAGACCCTCGGTTATTAAGACAGCGGACGTTATACAGCAGAGGAGCATGCGGACGAGATGGAGAGTATGGTCAGGTATCTCAATTCTGTGGCGACTGATACATTCTATGATAGCTTGTAGTTATGACTTGTATTATCTGTGACAAGCTAATGAGAACTGGC